GGTTTTCATGGGCATTTATCTAATATGGGTAGATAGTAAAGTGAATATTTTTGTTACAAAAAAGGAGAGATGGCTTTTATATGTATTTTTTCAATAGTTAACTGATTATTGGGAAATTAAGTTTCATTTCTAGATAGACAACTCAATATTTTGGTTGTTTAATTTACATTTTGTCATGTTTGAGGCATCAAGTATCTACATTTTTTAGATAATTGAATAAGAACTTATCAAACGCATAACACTATAATTTATAATCTTTTGCATAGACTTTTGCAACGATTGGATCTGTTGTTATTTTAAAAGGTACCTCATGCAGAACCCTAAAATTTTATATTCACGGTAGAAAATAAAATATTTGGGGCACCCGTGGAATCAAAATTAGAATTTTTTGTGGTTGATGTCAGCCCGCCATAGCCGGAAGCCTTTCATTATGGCGACACCGCTATAGTACCGGCACAGACGCTATAACAGGTTGACGAAAACTCAGACCTAGTTAATTAATATTTAAATAAAGAGACTTCAAAAAGAGACCCCACTTGTCCCTTTAATTTAATTGGAGATTTATGAGATATTTTCAGTTCATTTACTGCCTTAAACATGTAAAATCCTTAGGATTCTTTTTTGAAAAGAGTAACACTTTGTTTGGATTATTGTTGCCTATTGTTTCATAATGTTACTTGTAGTGAATGATAGATACAATGTTTAGCTAGACTGTATTGTTTGTTGTTGTTTAATAACATTTTTATTGTTTGGTTTGACTGTATCGTATTGTATTGTAATTTATGAATTTACTAAAATATCATTAACTATTCTAGGATAGGAGATATGACTAGAATTAAATAATAAAGGGTAAAGGATAAATAATATTACGAAATAAAATGCGAGGATTTAATTGAAAAAATAAATTAAGTAACAATGGGAACACACCAAATCAATTGTTCCATAAAATGAGGGTTTTCATTGTTACATAACAACGAAATTTAACAATACAATACAATACAATTTAAGTAACAATCAAAACAAACATTATAGGATGGTAACGATACAATACAATACAATGGATGACAATGATCTAAACAAAGTGTGAAATGACAACTTTTAAATGTACAACAATTGGACAAATGTCCAAAATTTCTATCCCTACTTCAGTGAAGGAATCAATAGCCTGCTACACAATCACTTATAAGTTGATCTCCAAGATCTTAACTTAAAATGTGAAACTTGTTCTTTACTTTATTGTGATCTCGTCACAATCTGCATTTATTGAGGATAGAGATGTATTAGAGAATGTGATCATTACTTAAGAGATAGTGAAATGGTATTTAAATAAGGATATTTCTCCAAAGTGTACTACTAAATTTTACATTAAAATGGTCCTTCCTAAAGATGACATTGCTATAGCTTTCATACTTTCATGTGTTTCAAACGATGTCATCTTTCCTATTTGTACTAGTCATGGAATACTTGCACAGAACACTACATCAACTTAGACATGAGCCGCAATTCAATTACCACCCTAGATGTGAGAAGCTTGGTCTGTTCACATCAATGATTTATTCATGTGTTATAGAGAAGATATGGAGTCCGTTCACTTGGTACTTCAGAATTTTCAACATTTTTTTGCAGCATCGGGATTGAATACTAACTTAGATAAGAGCTTTGTATATATAGTCGGGGTGTCTAATCAGACTAAAAGTCAAATCTTGAGTGAATTACATATACATCAGGGTGAGTTACCTTTTATATACCTGTGAGTTCCTCTATCCACCAAGAGATTATCAATACATATATGCCTACCCATGATTGATGAAAATGGTAGCGCGGGTGAAATGTTGAACATCAAAATATCTTTATTATAGTGGTAAACTTCAAATCATAAAGAGTGATGCAAACCCATTGGGCACAAATCTTTCTATTGCTAAAGAAGTTTATAACAATAGTTAAAATTGTATGTCAAACCTCCCTATGGATTGGTAGCATTGCAATAATTGTTCAAGGAAATAACTGGTAGTTTGGGATAAAATTTGTAGGCCAAAGGCGATAGGTGGACTAAGTGTTATTGATAGGCACATATGGAACAAATTGTGAGGTCCATACCCATTGAAGATAAACATAAAAGGAAAGTTAAAATGCAGAAAAGGTTGAATTAATGTTTGTTTCTTATTGTTAAATTCAACAAATGTTGCAACAAACCAAAGCTCACTATCTTTTTTCCAACTAAAATCTTACCAAGAAATTTGGATAGGTGCAAAGGTTGAAACCTTGTGGTTTTTGTGATGTCACTAGTGACATCATTAGTAGTAGATTTCTCCTATAAATACAGAGCCCTTGCTCATTTCAAAAACACACCAAAGCTAGAAAGGAAAACCACTTTGAGATCAAAGTGAGGTATTCCATAGACTATACAAGAAAAATAGTATGTGAAGAAAAATAGAATGTGAGTGATATTTTCGTAAGGTGGAAACCAAAAGAGTGTTGTTCCTTTTGAGTGTGTAGTGGTCACTTTGAGTATTGTATTCATGACTACACTGTGTAAATTTCTTATTATACTGATATCAGTTGCTCCTCTTGGCCCGTGATTTTTTCCCTTATTGAGAAGGGTTTCCACGTAAATTTCTCGGTGTTGTTATTTTTCCATTTTATTTCTATTACTTTTATCATATATATTTTTGTGTTTATTTGCATTTTCCCAACAAACTGGTATCATAGCCAAGGTTTCATCTGAGTATGCTCTGTGGTTGCAGCACAGTCTGAACTTCCACATCAAAAAAGGTTTACTTTGATTTGCGATAACAATATTTTTTGGGGAAAAACCATGGAAGACAAAAAAAAGTAGAATTGTTACTTTGAATGGTGTTAATTATGCCATTTGAAAGGGGAAAATGGAAGATCTGCTTTATGTTAAGAATTTTTACAAACCAGTATTTACCACTGTAAAGCCTGGTAATAAAACAGACTAAAAGTGGATTCTGTTACACAGACAGGTATATGGATTCATTAGACAATAGGTCGACAATAATGTGTTGAACCATATTTCTGGGGAGACACATGCTTGAACATTATGGGAGTATCTTGCAAGTTTGTATGCTCGGAAGACTGGCAACAACAAAATGTTTTTAATAAAGCAGATGTTGAGTTTAAAGTATCATGATGGTTTTCCGATGACAGACCATCTGAATAATTTTCAGGGGATCATGAACCAATTATCAGCTATGGGCATTAAATTTGATGAATAAATTCAAGGTTTGCTTCTACTTGGCTCCCTACCAGACTCTTGGGAAACATTTAGAACTTCATTGTCAAATTCTGCTCTGGATGGTGTGATCTCTATGGATTCCGCCAGAGTATTGTCTTGAACTAAGAGATGAGAAGAAAATCTCTAGGTTCTTCTTCGTTGGATGTCCTGATAACTTGCTCTAGGGGGAGAAACAAAACTCGTGGTTCTCAGTATAAAGAACAAAACAGGAGCAAATCCAGAGGCAGAATTAAGGATATTGAGTGCTATCATTGTGGTATGAAAGGGCACACAAAGAAGTTCTGCAGGAAGTTGAAGAGGGAAAACAAAAATAAAGAGGAAACTAAAGAAGATGGCAATGAAAATTGCCTAGCTCCAAAGTTAATGTTATTGTTCTTGATGCAGACATGATAAATATTGCTTGTGATGAATCAAGTGGGGTTGTGGACACTGGTGCCGCATCTCATGTGACATCAAGGAAGGATTTTTTCTCTTCCTATACTCACGGTGATTTTGAAACCTTGATTATGGGTAATGAGACTGTTTCTAGGTTTGTTGGTATTGGTACAATTTGTTTGAAAACTAGTGTTGGAACTAAACTAGTTTCGAACAATGTGAAACATGCTCCTGATGTTCGTCTACACCTGATTTCTGTTGGTGTTTTAGATGATGAAAGATATGTTACTACCAACGGTGATGGAAAATGGAAGCTCATTAAGGGTTCCTTGGTTGTGGTTCGTGGTAACAAATGTTGTGGTCTATAATGGACTACGACCTCTGCTTGTGTTAATATGGTGAATGCGATTGAGAGTGATAGCTCTTTAACGTTATGACACAAGATACTTAGCCACATCAGCGCGAAAGGACTTAATGTTCTAGCCAAGAAGAAGTTTTTGTCAAATTTCAAAAGTGCTAAATTAGAAAAGTGTGAGCACTACTTGGCTGGTAAAGAAAATAGAGTTTCCTTTAAGTCCTACCCTCCTTCGAGAAAGACAGAGTTGTTTGAGTTGGTGCACTCTGATTTATGTGGTCTAATGAAGACAAAGACATTGGTTGGTGCACTCTACTTTGTCACTTTCATTGATGATTGCTCGATAAAACTTTGGGTCTCTGTCTTGAAAACTAAAGACCAAGTGTTAGCTGTGTTTAAGCAGTTTCAGGCTTCAGTTGATAGAGAAACTAAAGTGTCTTCGTACTGATAATGGTGGTTAATATTGTGGACCATTTGACGAATACTGCAAGCGTCAAGGTATTAGACATTAGAAGACTCCTCCCAAGACTCCTCGGCTTAATGGTTTGGCTGAGAGGATGAACAGAACCTTGATGGAAAGAGTTAGATGTTTGCTTTCTGAAGCAAAGTTGTCAAACTCATCTTGGGGTAAGGCTTTATTGACCGTTGCACATGTTATTAATCTATATCCTACTGTTGCTTTGCAAAGTGATGTACCAAATAGTGTTTAGTATGGAAAGGATGTTTCTAATGACCATTTGAGAGTATTTGGTTGCAAAGCTTTTGTACATTTGCAGAAAGATGAGAGGTCAAAGTTAGATGCCAAGATAAGGCAATGCATCTTTATTGGATATAGCCTAGATGAATTTGGTTACAGGCTATATGATCCAATTGAAAAGAAACTTGTGAGAAGCTGTGATATTATTTTCATAGAGAATCAAACAATTGAAGATATTGACAAAATGGAGAAGGTAAAATCTTAAAGTTTTGATGGTATAGTTCATCATGTGCATGATGTTGTTGGGCTTGATAATCATGGTGACACCCAAAATCATGTATCGAGTCAATGTTGATGTTGATAATAACAATGATATCGTTATTGATGATCCTGTTGCTCATGAAGTTGTGGACGAACAAAATATTCCGATTTGGAGGTCCACAAGACAACGGTTTCCTTCCTCCCGTTATTCACCCAATGAGTATGTTTTACTCACTGACGGGGGAGAACCTGAATGTTATGAGGAGGCCATGGAAGATGAGCACAAGGATCAATGGATTGAAGCCATGCAATATGAGATGAAGTCTCTGTATGAGAACCACACTTATGAGTTGGCTAAACTGCCTAAGGGCATGAGAGTATTGACTTTGACGAAATATTTTCTCCTATTGTGAAAATGTCCTCGATTCGCATAGTTCTAGGTTTGGCTGCTAGTCTTAATTTAGAGATTGAGCAGATGGATGTGAAGACGGATTTTTTTCACTGTGACCTAGAAGAAGAGATTTATATGGAACAACCTGAGGGCTTCAAAGTAGATGTAAAGAAAATTTTATGTGCAAACTCAAAAAGAGTCTATATGGCCTAACACAAGCTCCTACACAGTGGTACAAGAAGTTTGATTCTGTTATGTAGGAGCAAGTCTATAAGAAGACCTCTTCAGATCATTGTGTATTTGTACAAAAATTTTCTGACAATGATTTTATTATCCTTTTGTTGTATGTGGATGATATGTTGATTGTGGGCAAGAATACTTTGAAGATTGACGAGCTGAAAATAAGTTAAATAGTCTTTTTCTATGAAAGACTTACGTCATGCCAAACAAATTTTGGGCATGAGAATTACTCGTCTTAGGGATGAAAGGAAGATTTATTTGTCCCAAAAGTACATTGAACCTGTACTAGAGCGCTTCACTATGAAGAATGCTAAGCCTGTTAGCACACCTCTTGATGGTCATATGAAGTTGAGCAAAAAGATATGTCCTACAGCTAGGGAGGAAAAAGAGAACATGGTCAAAGTTCCATATTCCTCCGTCGTTGGAAGTCTAATGTATGCAATGGTGTGCACTAAACCTGATATTGCTCAAGGAGTTGGCGTTGTCAGCAGATTTCTCGAAAATTCGGGAAAAGATTATTGGAAGTTGTGAAGTGGATACTCAGGTATCATAGAGAAAGCTCAGATGAATGCTTATATTTTGGACCATCAAATCCAATCTTGAAAGGATATACAGATTCTGATATGGCATGTGACCTTGATAAAAGAAAATCCACTAGTGGATATTTGTTTACTTTTTCAGGGGAGCTATTTTATGGTAGTTGAAGTTGCAGAAGTGTGTTAAACTATCTACAACTGAAGCTGAGTATATTGCGGCTACTGAAGCCGGCAAGGAGATGATATTGCTCAAGCGATTTCTTCAAGATCTTGGTTTGAATCAGATGGAGTATATTGTCTATTGTGACACCCAAAGTTTAATAGACTTAAGTAAGAACTCCAAGTACCATGCAAGAACAAAACATATTGACATCAGATATCATTGGATTCGTGAGAAAGTGGAGAGTAATTTATTTCACGTCAAAAAGATCCACACAAGTGAAAATCCTGTAGATATGTTGACCAAGAAGATACCGAAAGACAAGTTCAAGTTATGCAAAGAGCTTGTGGGTATGAGCTCTCTCTAAAGAAAATGAAGATACCTCCTTCTAGTGAATGGGTCTGGAGGGGGAGATTTGTGGGGTCCATACCCATTGTAGATAAACATAAAAGGACAGTTAAAATGCAGAAAAGGTTGAATTAATGTTTTTTGCTTATTGTTAAAGTCAACAAACGTTGCAACAAACCAAAGCTCACCATTTCGTTTCAACTAAAATCTTACCAAGAAATCTGGATAGGTGCAAAAGATTGAAACTTTGTGTTTTTTGTGATGTCACTGGTGACATCATAAGAAACATGATTTTCTGTTGAATTACGGTTGATTTGTATCTAGGCTAAAGATATACCTTGAGACCTTGCTTGCTTGGTAAACATGATGAAAATGTAATGCTCAATAATTAGTCTAGTCTATCCTCGCTCCATTATGTAGTTAGACTACCAATTATTGTAGAAGATTGGAGATCGGGTGACCATGATCATACATTTAACACTGTAAATCAGTGATTTGATAACCAATTGAAGTCCATTGAAGGAAATAGTATTCATGAATTCAAAGAAGGATGCAACCCTGGAATTTTCCAAGTCATTGTTTTAACTCCAACTTGAAATTGAATCATATTACCTAGTTTAGTTTACTCTGAATAATCGAAACTTTAATTAGAATCATTCACTAACCTTTCTGGGAACACTTGTTTTAAATTGCAACTATTGAAAATCATTTAATATTGAGTCTCAGTGAATATGATATCCGACTCTCTGAAAGGGCTACTTGATTACTTATACAATCATGTACACTTACGTGTGCTTTTGAACGCAACAAGTCACTTGGAAGGACTTGTACAAGTCAGGTAATGGCTTAGGCAAAACTTGTCGCTCTTCTTCTTGGTTCCTTTCATAGATTCATCCTCCTTGATAAAGTCATAGCCTAGACCATACTTGCGATTTTTCTTTGAAATTTGAATCGACTCGACAGTGCTATCGAGGTTGTTACCCAATCTGTAGCCAGTTTTGAAACCATTCCTCAACATACTCATACTCAAAAATTTTGTATACATGTGGTGTCAACATTTGCAGGGCCAAAGTCTTCATGGGTGGCATTTATTATTTCGATAGTGTAGAAATCTGCCCCTCTTGAAATATCCTAGTCCTAGATCATTTGTACATAGCCATTTTGGTGGATCAAATGACTCGTCTATTCTTGTTTCATAGCAAAATTTTGATTTTTTCTTTCTTGTGTACTAGCATAAAAAAGAAGAAGACTAGTTTGTATCATTTTATTTTTGAATTTTTCTTTGATATCTTTTATCAATATTAAAATCTGATTAAATTAAAATTTACATAGATAATAAATCACTTTTTAATAAAAATAAATTCGTTTAGACCTCATATATAAATATTTACCAATTAGCCACAAAACTCATAGTTTGAGTTTGAGTAGTTTGTACTTGGTAGTACTAGTTGGCACCACAATTGGCATAGGTGACGTTAATTGAGTAGGTAGCAAAGAGCAGGAGGACCCCAGCTTCACCCAACACCACCATTTCTATCTCACCTACCCAAAATCGCTTAGCAGCCATTGCTTACCAAACAACCTACAATTTTCTACATATACATACACATAAACCCACCAATTTTGTTTGTTGTAATAAGCAGGAAGGTCATAACGGCGACGAAAAATGGCGTCTTTTGTACCTACCAAACAATTTGTCGGAGCTTCGTCGTCCTCCGATATCGGATCCTCTCGTCTTGTATCTCTTCAGCTACCTTCTAAGTTCTCATCTTCCAACTTTCATCTCCCATCTCGTCCATCACAACTCAAACGCTTAGGTACAGAAATTTTCCAATTCAATTTGAAAATTTATGAATTGTTTACCGTATTTGTTTCAGTTGCTCATCTTCATAAATTGAAGTAGATTTATTTGTTGTGTTTAATTTGATTGATTTTATCTATTTCTTTGCTATTTTTCATCCAAAGCAGTAAGCCTTGGTTTATGTGTACAAGATTAGCTATGTTGTAGTTCTGCTTTGGTTTAGTTATAATTGAATTTCTGCTGGTTTCTGTATTTAAGACCATAACTGGAGCTAAGAACCGTTCTCCTTGTTTAGAAGATGGTGTTGAAAATGATTTTATGATTATTGACTTTTATATTATGTGGCTGAAAATGTTTAACTTGTTTAATCTCGTCGTTCTTGTTGATCGAATAAATGAGAAAAAAGAAATCATAATTCCATGAAAAACAGGAACTTGTTTATATGTAAATCTATTTATTTTTCTTACCTGCAATGCATACACAAAATAAAACTCTAGGAAAATGATTTTGATTCTACTAACTGTCTCTTTATAGATATGGTAGAACCTCTTTCCCAGTTGATTGACCTTTACTTGGTGGATTCAACTGAAGTTAATTCCTGAGTCAAGCTAGTGTCATAGTACCCATTTTAATACTCACACATATCTGGCCTTTGTTTTCCTATAGACTATGTGAAGTGGTAAGGTTAGGATGCAAGCCTTGGGTTTATGCTAGCAGGAAACAGAGTATTTCACTTCTAATTGTATGGGCACTTCTACTCTAACCATCTTGTTGAAAGAATTATTATGGTCCTGATATGAGCAATAGTTGTTGGCTGCCTTATTTCACACCAGATTTTCTTGTATTCATTTATTGAGTTTAGTTGTGCCAGAAACAAGAAATGAAAAGAAAAGGTAAAGTGAAAAATGCTCGGCTTCAGGAGAAATCTCTGTTTGTAATTTGTATTGCTTTTCAGCTGAATTTTTCTAGTCCCGGGAAGAAATGAATTAGAAATTATGTGAGTTCTTGTTAAAGACATGCATTTGAATGACCTTAAAGAGGCCTATAAGTATGTATATTATCTTATTTAAGCACTATTTGGTGCATTTCAAATGTTATTCATGTCCTCTTGAGAATATTATTCTTGTTAAATGAAGTTGATAAGGTGCATTTGGAAACACAGATAATACCAACATTCTTTGGTAATTGCTATCCTTTGCCACGTGGGAAGACAAACTTAAATATTCTTTGCATCCTTGGCTTGCTTGCTGCTAAATTGAGTTAAAGTTGGTTAGAAACTTAATTCTCTCTGCTTGTGTACCTGCAGAGATACAGGCTGCTGGTAGTACATTTGGAAATTACTTCCGCGTTACAACTTTTGGAGAATCTCATGGTGGTGGAGTTGGTTGTATTATTGATGGATGTCCTCCCCGTCTCCCACTTTCTGAATCTGATATGCAGGTGGAACTTGACAGGAGGTATTTCTTTCCTTGTCCCCAGCTATTTTTCTATGGAACGAATGTCACCAACACCATATTGATAGCTACATCAGATACCAGGATAAACTTTTGACATTTTGGCAGTCTAATGTAGAAAAAGGCTAATTGAACGAGTATTCTTTGGGATTACTAAGGTTTCATTATTTTTTGGCTCATCTTAAATTGTTTAGAAAACTTTGTCATCCAGGAGGCCAGGTCAAAGCCGCATTACCACACCTAGGAAAGAGACTGACACTTGCAAAATTTCATCAGGCACTGCAGATGGTTAGTTTTCTGATCTAGTTGATTTTAAACTTTGTCTTCTTCCATTTGCCTCTCCTGGACTAAGCCATTGGCGTTTTATAATTCTTTGAACTCAGTATCGGGCACTCATTTACTGCAGGGCTGACTACTGGATCTCCAATCAAGGTTGAAGTACCTAACACTGATCAGAGAGGAAATGTAAGTATGGTCTTTACCTTCTTGAGACTTTCTGTGTGTCAAATAACACAAGAAAAGTGAACCAGGAAGTTTCTCTTAAAATGATTGTAGATTCCACTACTCTGTTTTTAACTCATAGCCAGTTTGTTGCTTTGACATGCGTTGCTTCATCGAGACAGTTATCCAAGCTAAGCTTAGGTATATCTTGTTTGGCAATCTCATATAGCTGACTATATCCGTAGACGAGTCACTCGTATTCTTGACTTGTCAAATTAATTTTTTTGGGGCACAATTGAGAGACATCATGGTGATGAGGCAAATGCCTGTTGCGCTCATTCCGTGGTGGAATTTGTGACATGAAAGTCAAAATGATATGTGAACTTACTTGTGCTTAAATATAACTACTTCAAGTTGAAATCTAAAGTATGTGAATTTCGCACAATGTCCTGATAAATCCAAGAATAATTTGGAGTGAAAAAGCAAATTTTCAGCCTGCTCTGAGTATATTTTGTATGTTAATTGTATTTGAGCTTTTGTCAATTGATGCTGAATTTTCTTTTCTCCCATACTTGCTGGATTAATCATTTTGTGTTGGATTACCAGGACTACAGTGAAATGTCGCTTGCTTACAGGCCATCTCATGCAGATGCCACTTATGACTTCAAGTATGGAGTGAGATCTGTACAGGTAATTTCATGATAAATCTAATTATAATTATCTTGGATATCCTAATATGTTTAGTTTTTTTTTCTTGTCCTAGCACTTGTTATTTCTCAAGTTCTTATTACCGGCGTCTTTATGTAGGGGGGTGGTAGATCATCAGCAAGAGAGACTATTGGGAGAGTTGCTGCTGGAGCAGTTGCTAAGAAAATTCTCAAACTCTATTCTGGAGCTGAGGTATGACTACTTCTGTAGGTTTAGGATCCCATAGCTAAAATTTAGTGGTATTTACTATTATATCAAAACGATATGTAAAACCTCCCTCTGGTGCTCATTTGGGAATAACAAGCTCTGCAGTGGTGATATTAGAGGCATTTTGATGCATTCAAACCTGCCACATATCCCTTTTCTTCTTAAATTAAAGATTCAGAACCTTTAGTTTTAGCTAACTTTTGGGAATAATCCATTAAATATTTGGCTAGATCCCCTTTCTTTACTGGGATGAACTTGGCTTTTAGCACTTATATTCCATACTGCAGGTTCTTGCTTATGTTTCTCAAGTTCACCAAGTTGTACTTCCTGAGGATTTGATTGATCATCAGAACGTGACTTTAGAGCAGGTATATGTACATCAGAATGTATTTCAATTATATATTCTTA